TGTTTCTCAAGATGGTGGTTGTTGCATTTTCTTTCCAAATCAATTTAGGAGGATGACCTCTCGAAATCCATCGCCTTATGTAATGTGGAATCCAATGTTGTCAAGATCTGGATCAGTTTCCTTGAGGGCTCGTGGAAGCTCCAGTCCTCATACAATGAACAGAAGGACAAGAAAACATGGTATGGCAGTTTTTCCTGTATGGCTTTGTGGTTATTACCTTATTTGTTACTTGTCTTTAGTTGAACAGTTCCACTATGCAAACTACTCTGGATGAACTTATGTGCTCACCTTGTTTTACATTTGTAATATGTTGGCCTTCTCAGTGATGAGCTGGAGAAATGTGTGAGTGATTTTCTAAAGTTGACAAAGCATCATCTTTCAGCATTCAAGGTAAGTGAAATTTGTTATTCATGTCCGCTAGAGGCATTCATGCAGTATGGTATCTACTATCTATCCCTGTTTTGCTCTGTTACAATTATGTGTTTCTTTGTATTTATCAGGAAGTCCTAAGCCAATTTATTGAGAGTATCAAAACATATGTCGATAACTTGGCTATCTTAATCTCAAGGTATTTCAATTCTTTTTCCTCTTTTAGTCATGTACTTTGATGTCCAATTCGTTTGGTAGTTACGGTTTTTATTACTTGCCTTGTAGGAAAGAGGAAAAAGAACATGGGGATGATGAAGCATCTGAGAGGACAAATCCGCGTAAATCCCTTGAAGAGGAATATCTAGAAACAGAAAAGAAGGTTATACTCAGTCACCTTGCTTAACCTGGTCTCATAGTTCCTGTTCATTCTCACTTCTTTACATAACATGTTTGAAGGAGAATCCAAAGTCAAAGTGACATCTATCAGTCGCCATATGTATTATTTAACTAAAGAAACTCTTTAGTTTTATAGCTTATAAACTTGTCTGGCATCCTCCCTTAGAAAAACTAGACCACACTGTCTGATGATATTTACAAAATTTTCAGATTATAATTGCGTTCAGCATAGTTGATCACATAAAGAAGTTGTTTTATTCTGAGCAAGGGGCTAATTCAAGGTACCATCTGTTTCTGATGTTCTGTATTTGGTGGGTTATTTCAAGTTTGCACCAACGTGATCTTACTCCTTGTGACTTCACATGGTTATTCAGGAGAGATGACCCAGAGGTCAAGAGCTTAATTGAGGAGATTGAGAAAATGAGGGAATCGTTTGAATCTATAGAAAGGCCAACACTAAGCATAGAATCTGAGCAAGCGAAGCCACTACCTGTTGAGGGATCCAAACTGAGTCCTTCACCTCTTCAGGCACCTTCTACCCCGAAAGCTGCACACGTCGACTCACCGAAATCTCCCATGAAACCCGAGCAGCATTTCGATTCAGATGCGGAGCTTGTAACCCTGGGATCAGAGCTCGGGAAAGAGGACAAAGAGTACTCAGGTGAGGAGATCAGCGGGTGGGAGTTTGACGAGCTCGAAGAGGATCTTAAGAGCTGAGACCATGAATCGACCAACAGGACGCAATTCGATTCAGTTTGCTTCACTGACATGTATTATGTCTGAGCCTTGCGTGGACAAGAAACACACACTGGTTGATGTGTACATAGTGCTGTTTGATTGTACCGTTGCACTGTCAGTTTGTCACTGTTTTTAGGATATGCGGACTGAGCTGGTGTAACCTGGGCAAGGCATTTGCTATTTGTTTGTTCTTGCCATGAATATTTTATCTTACATGTATACCGAACACTGTTGTAACTGTTGTAAATGCAGAAAACAGACATTCGAACATTTGGCAGAGTTTGCTCTGTAGAACCTTGGATTGTTGGGTTTGAGATTTACATACATTTCGAACGCATGAGTCTATCAGGATTCAGGAGTCCGTATAAGCACGTTTAGTTCTGTAGCGACAAAACACAAACGATTGACACGGCTAATCTAGACTTCTACCACTCCACAAAAAAGGATGCTTCAGTTTTCTTTTAAAGAATTAGTTAGCTAGTGCACAGTTTATATGTTGCGTTCAGGGATTCATGGTAATTCTGGAGAAATTTCAAAACGGGAAGATGGGATCCTGTAGTGCTAGCCTGATTTTGGGTTTGGGATTTTGTATTAGTTAGCTAGTGCACGTTTTAGAAGTATAAGCAGTTTTTGTTTAGATTAAAAAAAATAAAGTAATCAGTTTGCACTTTGCAGTGTGGTCGAGGCCCACCAATGCGACAACAGGTTAGCCATTTAAACAAAAGGAGAACAAAAAAATCGACCACAGTGGGAGTCGAACCCACGACCTTCTGATCCGAAGTCAGACGCGCTAATCCACTGCGCTATGCGGTCTTGCGTGTCCATTGTTTAACGATATAATAAATGTTAGTAAAATCTAAAAGAAAATGCTCTGCAAATTTCATGCACCCTATTCTAAGGGCAGGTCTTGACGTCTCGAGTAGTGCCAAAACGAACTTCAAGGGTGCTTGATCCGATTTATATGTCGAACCAAAATTGAACCGATCAAAAACTAACAGAAAACTCGATTTGAATCCTAGCAATTCAGCTGGATAAAATATTCGGTGGAGGAAGGCAGGGCCTGAACATCGTGTACATGGAGATATGTTTGTCCAAGAAGAGGACCTTTGGATTCAAAAAAAAAAGGGGGCTGATTGATTTGCGACCAAAATTTACTATGTCAAAGATTTGGCAAGTCAAAGCTAGGTAAAAAAATTGCCATGGATTTGGCAAGCCAAATGTGAGAGGTTGGCAAGTTTTGGTAGCCAACCAAACACTATCCAAAATCATGGCTTGCTAAATCTTTGGTTTGGTAAATTTTAAAAGCCAACTAATCAGACTTTTTATGCTTCCTTTGATACTCTTTTGTGGTTCTCTATACGGTAATGCTCTCTACCGAGTGTCCGTTCGGCCGAACAGGACAGACCCGCTTGTCACCGCGCCTCGTGCCTTGTGCGCCTTACCCGCGCCGCGCTCCGCCGCACCTCGCGCCTCCCGCCCGGACTCGCGCTGCGCATAGCCAAGGTCCGACCTCCACGCTGTGGTATCGAGCTCCGTGCCAGCATCAAGCTCTACGTCAACGAGCGTCCATTCGAGGGCAGCAAGTAGATGAGCATATGTTGCAACCGTATGTTTCATGCGTTTCAGATGTATGTTGCATATGTTTCATCTAAATGTTGCAAAAGTAGATCTGGTGTTGCATATGTTGCAATATCTATACACGTATGTTGCAAGTGTATGGTTCAAATGTTTTAGCTGTTTCAAACATATGTTGCATTAGCTATACACATATGTTGTAAGTGTATGGTTCAAATGTTTCAGCTGTTTTAAACGTATGTTACCAGTGTTTTATCTGGATATTGCATATGTTGCAATGCCCATACACATATGTTGCTAATATATGTTGAAAATGTTCCATCTGTCTCGGATGTATGTTGCAGCAAATGCTTTATGTTGCAAGTGTTTCATAAGCCTGGACGGCAAGGGGGCGCAGGCGAAGGTGGTCTCCTCGGGCGTAGCGGTCCCCGCGTGCGCGCGGCAAGCGAAGTGGGCGCGACAACAAGCGCGGAGCACAAAGCTATATCCATGGGCATAGCAGCAGACGCGGAGCACTAAGCTGCATCCATGGGTGAGCAGTAAGCACGGAGCACGAGGCGAAGCAGAGCACGAAGCTACATACATAGACGCCCTGAGGATATTATTATTATTATTATTATTATTATTGAAAATGGGCAGACAGCATGTGCGGGCATGCGGACGGACGCTGCGTCCGTACGAAACGTGCGTTAGTCTCTCCGTTCTCAATATTGGATTTAGCATCGGCACCGAACTGTTAGCCACGCTGCCAAATGTGTTTCTGTTCAAATTTCTATATAAAAATGCACAAACATTTACAAACCAAACTAGATTCATTCGATAAACCATGTAACATATTTGATAGTGCATGTATTTGATAGTGTATATGTTAATGTAAATTTGGTTCATAGTTAGACACATTTGACTTAAAACAAAGCAAAAACACCTTACAATTTGAAACGGAGGTAGTGCTCCACATGGTTCTAAATTACAAGGCATTATACCTATTGCTTTGTCCATTCTAAAATTATAGATCATTTCAGATTTGCTCCAAGTCAATCTTTTCTAATTTTAATTAACTAAGTCTATAGAAAACACATCAGCATCTATAACATCGAATTACTCATTAAATTCTCCATGAACTTTGTCATAATAATTCATTTATTTAAACTTGTATTATTATCTAAAAACTAGACAAAGTTAGAAAGCTTGACTTAGTGTAAAAATAAAATGAGTTATGATTTGAACAGAGATGGCAGATCATTACGCATGTTGTATGTACTAACTTGTTTCCAAACACTTGTCTTTATTTTTTGGTCACTTTGCATATCTTGGAACTTGACGTCTCAGGAATCATATTTCCCATTTTCTCCTATATAAAAAATGTTGCATGGATGCCATAGAAACACTTTAAATACAAATTTGTGAGGGTGTCTTGGCTATCTTATCCTCAAAGTTGCCAAGTAGTATATTTGAAAACAGAGGGGATGTTTGGTTTCTGGTCACAATTTGCCATAAATAGCATTAGGCAAGTGTGCAAGCCACAAAAAAAAAATGGTTATAGAAAATTAAAAGACCACACATTGTCATGCCTAAGAGAATTTTAATTTTAATATGTTTTTATACTCTATTACATGTAGAGCTCAAATGAATTTTGTTTAAATTTAGTGAAGTATGGCAAAATATAGTTATTGGCAACCAAACACCCCTAATTTTTTCGTGAGGACGGAAAAACTTAAAGCCAAATATTGGTGCAGAGGAAGGCAAACGTCGTGCACGCTGAGCAATTTCCCAGGTCGAAATGCCGTACGAAAATGCATTATAATTTAATTATATAAAAATTAAAAAGTTCTGGATTGCCCACCGCCGCCGCTCCGCAATCCTGGAGGCTCCTGCTCCTTCCTGCACGGTGCTTCCTTTTGTCCGGGAAGTAATCGCCGGCGATGGCATATGAGTCACCGCGGTTCCCCTCCGTCTTCAACCCAGGCTTTTCTGTTGATTGGGAGAAGTGGATAGAGGAGATCAGAGATTTTCGGGAGCCCCACGACTCACGTCCGCTGCGCCGAATCCTACCGTTGAGATTCTCCCCCAAATCCCCCGCCCGCAGTCAGGTATTCCTCAATCCCCAATGATCCTTTCGACCAAAACCACCCAGTTACTGTAAGTTTTTGTAAGTAGAAATCCAGTTAACTTGAACTGCAAATGTATTTTCCTAGCAGTTTTATCCTTTTCATTCTCTAATAATGCATTGGTTAGGGATGGGCTTTCTTTTTTACGTATTGGATTCGACGACCATGATTCAGATTGACTGACCCATCTTGAAGAAAACCACTAGTAATTTATTGAACTTGATCAGAATGATGCGTCCTTATCTGCCGTCAAACTCTGCTTTTCAGACATAGGACCGCGTGACAGGTTGAACAGCTTTTGATATCCTAAGAGTTTTGTTTGTACTCCCTCGGTCCTGGAATATAGTGGATTTTCGGTTGTCCTAAATTAAGTCATGCTAAGTTTGACTAAATTTTGTAAACCAACAATAATATTTACAAATATCAAATGAGCTTCGTTAGATGCATTATGAAATGTATCTTCATAATTTATCTCCTTAATGTGGTAGATGATGTTGCCAATGGAGGAGGTAGGGAGCACTCACATGCACACTATCTGTACTGCTTGCTAATACATTTCATCTATTCTTCCTGAAATGTGAGAAAACTTTACCATTCCATAGCGGAGTTGATAATTTTTTTTTCCTTAGGCAATAGAGCTCAGGATGATTCATGGACCTCTGTTCATCAGATAAAAGGGAAAAGGTACCCAGTACAAAGTTATCTGGTTGAGCTGTAATAAGATTGCAGTAAACTGCAGGTACTTAAAATAGACTGTACTCATGTGGAGGTAGAGTTGGAATGACGACTATGCTAGATTTCTCATTGTTCTGTGCAAGAGTTTAAGGTGTTTGTCAGACACGAACTGTCTTATTCTATTTGACAGAGTGATTATGCATTAAAAAATGCTAAAAAATCAGTGCCTGAGCGTAATATATATCCATCTGCTGTTTCTATGATAATATTTCTATGTTTTAACTGTTGAGAATTAGGAACCGGAAAGGAACCCAGGCTCTCTGATACCATGTAGAGAATTAGGAAACACCTCACACCCATTAAGGGAGGGGTGACTTTCATATATATAGTCAAGATACAACTTGGAGTACAAGTAAGGTACATACATATCTCTAGACTATACATATCTCTAATATTAACATACACTCACCATGGCCTCCTATTCCACTTGCCATTGCTGGTCCTGCCTCTCGATCATGGTCTCCCATGACTCAATTTGAAATCTATGAGATAACCAAGTACCAACAAAGAGGAAGTGTTTTGTTTTGCTGCTCGTCTTTGTTCACATATTAATGCCAAGATGAGGCACTTGTCTCATCCAAGTCCTTCCAATATTCTGATCTCAAGTGGAACAAGATCAGGGGAGATTCATGGAGAAAACAATAGGTTGATTCCCTTTTCTGCAAATACGAAAGTTTTTTCTTGATGTCTAATATGTGTGCTTTTGTTTCTGCAGGTCTTATGCTTGAGTTTGATTTATTACATGAGGAAGTGACGATCTGTGATCGCTGCATGTGGTTGCACATTTCAAATGGATTGGTAGGTGCCTGTGCTCCTTTCAACCGCTGTAGACTGTTATATAAGTTATCTTTTTATTGCAGTAGGTTGATGATTACAAAAGATATGTCATAGCCTAACAGATCACCTGTCACTCAGTTCACCGGCTGGGTTTTGATTGAAGGGATGAAAAATTGTTGATGATGTCATTGAATTGCCCTGTTTCACTGGGTTCTGTCTTCTGTATGTACTCATCCTATGAGTGGACGAAAACCAGGATTTCTAGCTGAGTAACACCTTGCAGGTTTGTGATGGCTTTGTGCTCATTGAATCGACGGCGAACAAGATGTCAGATAAGAATATAATCCCCAACTATCCAATCCTCCGGCTCTTCAATGTTGTCGACCATGCCAAGTCAACCCTTGGAGTGCAGTGCATTTCTCTTCTACTGCTTCCCATGTACTCCCTCTGTCCCCAATTAACTGTCGCCGTTGGTTTCCGTGCCGAAAGTTTGACTCGATTTGTAAAAAATACGTGCAACATTTGTATCTCTAAATAAATTTATTAAAAAATTAGATTTAAATATCTATCCAATGATATTAATTATGTACCATAAATATTAATATTTTTTAATATATATTTCTAATAATATGAGGAAAGATAGAGGAAAACCAAAATTGACATGGAAGGAGACAAAAAAAGAGATTTGAAAGTTTAGAAAACAGCTATTGAAGTGCCTGAACCGTGACTTGGGGCTCTTGGTGGGTTTCAACTCTAGCCTATCCCAACTTATTTGGGACTGAAATGCTATGTTGTTGTTGTTGTTATTGTTGTTATATATATTTAGTCAAAGTTGTTTCTCGGGAAACGAAAATGACAGATATTTAGGGACGGAGAGAGTACTTGTCACTGGGCATTCTCATTGGCTGAAGATGATCTGTGCTTGTTATAATGAGACTGATAGGAATCTACATATCCAGCTTGTAGCTAAATACTCAGATTGAAACTGTCCTTCTACACGAATTATTCTCGGGTCTGAATAACTGTCTCAACATTGATCAAGGCATGCAGATGGCTAAATAATGAACTTATTTATTAGCTTCTGAAGCATACTAGCTTCTCCACCAACAAACAATGGGAGATACTATGTGAGCAGCCAAATTTAGGCCAACATACAGCCGAAAAATAATTTGGATACTTTCTGGAGAGCAAATGTTGGCCTGACAATCAGAAGACGCAAACAGACGTTAATCTACTTTAAACTCTGCTTCAAGTACCTAGGCAGGCATTACCGCAAAGGTAATTTGAAGCAACTGATGCCTACATTACAGGTAACTACACCACATCACACAGGTTCATCCTTGAGTTGCAGAACTCAGTCAAAGCATACTTTATAATATAGCACACATTACATAGAGCAAATTTGTGCACAAATACCACACTTATTACATGAAACTGTACAGGTGTTCGATACATAGGAGAGCGACACAAAAACAAATCCACACAACCATTTATGCTCAATCAGAGCAAAGCACATGGATACACTCAGTCGAAATTTATGCAGAACACAAACACAGTTCATTTGCAGTAGAAATAAATTAACAGACAGACAGAACAGATGGCAATCCACATTAGCACACGCAAACCACAACTTGGGATCAAATCAGAGGCTCTTCCGGCATCAAACCTGTTACTTCCAGCATAAAGAGAATATTCCAGCATCTTCATCATACTCTTGTTCATCTCCTTTTGCTTGGTCTTGAGTTTCTGGTTTATTATGTTTAATCTTAACTTTGTCTTTATTGTTCTTAATGACTTCTTCCACCACATTAGGGACAACGTCACCGTTGAATTCGAGCTCCTTCAACCTGGGAAGGTTGTCGATGCCGGAGAGATGCCGGAGAGAGACGTGAAAGATGACCACACAATCTTCTCGAGCCTTGGAGCAGATCCGGTGGCGAATAGGGATGAAAACGGATCGGATACGGACGGATATCACCGATATTATATTTGTTTTCATATTTCTGTCCGGATTCGGATTCGAATACGGATAGTGTCAACTATGTCGGATAGGATACGATTGGATATCGACATCATAAATATGCGATTTGAGTATTCGGATACGGATACGGTATCGGATGCTGGATATCCGGACTCGGATGCGGACAGATCTCAACCCCTCTAAACGGATTCGGTTTCAAATACGGTCGGAAAATATCCGTACCGTTTTCATCCCTAGTGGCGAAGACTATCTTGGTGATGGTAGAGCAGTCAACAACAAGAAGGTTGACCAATATGAACTCATCTTTGTTAAAGGTAATCTGGTTCTGTGTTTCATCAAAAGACTTGCCCAAGAGCACTAGGCAGCGCATATTTGGTTTCTTGGAGAGGATTCGTAAAGCATCTTGCTTCATCAGTGTACCACACAGTGGCGAATCTGGATTTTGTGTCAGGATATGCCGTCAAAAAAATTTCATATACAATTCGGTAAATTCATTTTAGAAATTCGGTAATAATTATAAAATTGACAACATGATTCGGTATATATGCACTAAATAACACAATAAGGCTTAAATTCATGGATTAAGTTCAAACCATCCATTAAGTATAATATAAATAGTTCAAAAGCCATATCAATAATTGAAATCGGGCATAAAAGAGAACATTGAGACTTACCATACTATTTTTGTGACTATTTTATTAATCCTCTTTCCGAATTGACATAAATGTGGAAGAGCATATCATCATCAGAGAATAGTTGAGAAAATATTGTAAATCAATTGCCAAGTCACTAACCAGGTCATCATGAAGTTTACTCACATCTTATTTCTTAACTTTATTTTCACATGATTCAACCATTGCGACATCCTTTCTAAAACTTGCGTTGCCACGGTGAATGATCAAGATGCAATTTGAGAGAGCTCATATATTATTAAAGGTCCATTCAAACCTTTGTTTCACATGATTTTCCAAAAAGAAAGATTTCAATAGGGATCGGGACCTTTGAACTATTGTTGGATGTCATAATAATGATTGGCTTGAGTATAGTATTAAGAAGGATGCAAATTTTGCTTCATATGCTATTTGTTCAAGAAGGGTACTAGGTCGCGTACATTCTATCATTGATGGTCAAATGAATTGGAACATAGGAGAGAAAGCACTTACAAGAAACATATGGGTTCTAAGGCACATATTGCAGATTAAGAGAGATACATTGGCTTTACAAATCCCAAGATAGCAATTGATTATAATATTGAGAAGTCGAGTGATGAGGATCTTCGCTTTTATAAGAAAAGGTTGACTTATTCACTTAGGTGTATCAAGTATCTTTTGCATCAAGGGTTGGCGCCATCGTTTATCATGATGAAAGTGAAGAATCTAGCAAAGAAAATTAGGGAACTTCATTGAACTTTTGAAATTTCTTTTCTTTGCCAAGTGAAGAAGTGAATTGAAGTATGTTTTGGACAATGCTTTGTAAACACATCGCATTAACTAGCCTGTATATACAAAAGCAAATTATTCATTAAAAAATGCAAAGAAAAAAAACTAGAAAGAAAATAATTGAAGAACTTGGTGATGAGCCCTATGCAATTTTAGTTGATGAGTCTAGTGATATATCACATAAAAAGAACAACTAGCTCTTTGCTTCATGCATATGTTGATAAATTGGGAAGGCCATGTGAGCATTTTATTGGAGTTGTTCATGTAGATGATACTACTTCTTTATCACTTAAGGATGCAATTGAAGCTTTACTTGTTAGTCATGGCTTGACTATGACTCAAACCCGCATTTCAAGGATATGATGGGGCTAGCAACATGAAAGGAGATATTAAAGGGTTAAAAACATTGATCATGCAAGAATCACCTTCCGCTTATTATATTCATTGTTTTGCTCATCAACTCCAATTGGTTCTGTTGTCAAAACAAGGAAAATACTAATTGCAAGACCTTTTGGTCAAATATGTATCTTGTTGAATATTGTTGAGTTTCCTAAGCGCCATGACATGCTTAGAAATGCTAGGAGTGAGAATGTCAAGAAAGCACTTGACTAACAAGTAAAATTGAATCTGAACCTTATTACATCAAGAGATGGGTTTGTTTAGGCTTGGAGATACTCGATGGGGATCTCATTACAAAATCAGATCCAAAGATCATTATCAACATATGAAGCAATCCATGATGTACTAGTTGATCTTGGGGATGATCCTGCATATAAGGATGATTGGACCAAAATACATTTTGTGGCTCATCAGCGTTTGAGAACTTTGAGTTTGTTTTCTTTGCACACTTAATGTATATTATTCTTGGATATACAAATGAGTTATCTGAGTATTTGCAAAGAAGGGACCAAGATATTCTTAATGCAATATCACTTGTTAATTTGGCAAAGAAAAGAATGCAAAATTGAGGTCCCTGGTTGGAATAATTTTCTTGAGAAGGTCACTTCATTTTATGCCCTTGATAAAACATGGTGTTGAAGTTCACCTATGGATGGTGATTATGTTCTTATATGGAAAATCAGCAAGGAAAGCTCGTGCTCAAAAAGCAAACCAATGATGACCACTTTAGAAGAGAAGTATATATTGATGTCATTGATCAAATAAGTCAAGAACTTGATAATCGGTTTGATGAGATTAATATGGAGTTGTTGTCTTGTATGTCTCCTTCAGTCCTTCCAAGTCATTTGCTTCTTTTGATGCATAGAAGCTACGTGAGCTAGCAGCTGAGTTCTACCCAAAGGAGTTCTCAAATAATAATTTGCTCAAACTTGAGTTGTAGCTAGATAATTATATTGATGACATGAGACATGATGATAGCTTCAAAGGTCTAGACAATATTGTTGACCTCTCAGTTAAGCTTGTTGAAACAAAGAGGCACAAAGTGTACGATATGGTTTATGAGCTCCTCAAATTGGTATTGCTTCTACCGTGGCAACGGCAAGTGTTGAAAGGGTATTTTCTACAATGGTTTTTGTGAAAACAAAGTTAAGAAATAAG